GTCATCTTCTAACTTTGGTTGTCGAGGCTAGCCAGTAAGCCCTGGTGATCTTGAAGTCTTCAAATCCCCAGCACTGAGGTTATAGGTGTGCACTACTGAATCCAGGTATTTATGTGTGTGTGTGTGTGCTTAGGATCCAGATTGAGGTCCTTATGACTTCAGCACAAGTGCTTTCTAGACTGAGTCATCCAGCCAGCCCTAATAAAGAAATCTGAGAAAAATGCAGTAAAGCAAACTTACTGAATTCATATAGACTACACCAAACAGTGTCCCTGGTAGAGTCTTGAGAAGCCACTGATAGTTTTACCTGAAAGATCATTACATCTCCTGCCATGCAGTTTTAGAGAGACGCAGACCAACACTATCAGAAACAAGAAAAACAGTATGTGGGGAAGGGAAGAAAAAGTCTAACCCCAGGAGGAGCTCAGAGTAATGGGAGATAGAAAGAGAAGCAGAAAATGAAGCCAAGGAGCCTTGAAAAATGGTTCATGCTTACCATTTATAATTTCCTAAGTACTTCTTACAGAGTGCACTGTGACTTCCTGGCTACTTCTAATAATCAGGCATATATTTGTGCTCTTCTCTGGTAGACTTCTTAAAAGAAAGCTCAACACTGTGTCTAATACTACTTACCATTATGGATGTCCAAATGCTCAAATGGCATTACCTCAGACCCTTCTTGGATCTTAACCTCCTGAGCCACAAGTTGACTTTATTCATTCTCTGAATGAAAGTATTTAAAGATTAATTTTCAAAAAAAATTATGTGTGTGTGCGTGCATGAGTGAATGTCACATGAATACAGTGCCTACAGATGCCAGAAGACAGTGTCAGATTCCCTGGAGCTGGAGTTATGGATGATAAATGTGAGTTTCCCAGTATGGGTACTGGGAATTGAACCTGTGTCCTATGGAAGAACAAGCACTCGTGTTCTGAGCCATCTCTCCAGTGCCTTCCACAAGTATTTATTACAGCTCCATTCTGATATTTAAAATTTAACTATTTAGCACTCCACTCCACTCCATCTTCCATCTCAAAGATACTCTACCTTCATAATTTTCATTTATTGGTAGTATCAACACTAATAGATTGGTATTTACCTCCAATAATATTCTGCTCCTCATCTGAAGAACTCCTACTAATACTCCATGAGACATCCTTTCTCCCATGTAGCATCTATGAACACCTTCGTTTAGACAATGTACTGTATTTCATCTCCTCTTACAGCATCTGGGACCTTCACTAAGTTGATGGTATTTGGGCCATTGTCAAACAGCACAGATTGCTCGCTTCTCTGATGTTTCACCAAAGACAATAACAAGGACGAGAAGCCAGTGGAATTCTGGGGCCAATCTTATCTCAAATATGGAAAGAGTGACTTGTTTTAGAATGATAATCCAAGTAAAGAGTTCTTTAAAGAAATCTCTCTGCAGCCGCATTGACAAGAGCGACTAAAACACTGCCTCTATTATAGGAAGTATCGTCCCATCGTCCTTCAACTTCTTTACTGTTTAATGCCATACATCAAGCACCGCTCATAGAAACAAAATGGTGTTGTTAAACTGGAGAGATTTCACCCCTAATAAGCACTGAACAATTGGAAGGTAATGGAAAAAGAAGTGCTATTTTATATGAAATCATATTTGGTCCATTTGGACTGAATAACATTTGCATATATGTAAATACATAGTTAAATATAGATAATTTTTTCTGAATGTAATTATATATACATTTTATATGTATGCATATTTTATGCAGATAGGTACATGTAATCTGTCTATAAAAACCTCTACCTATGAAATTATAAAAGATGTTGAATCTCCTAACCCTGCCTTCGCTGTTTCGGTTCAGCCGAAGCCTGCAAAGCCACCTTCTAGAAAACGATTCACAAATAATGTTGCTATGAGAAATCATCATAATTATCCATAATCATAAGAGCAGACAAGGAAGGGTAGAAGAAATTCTTGTCATACAACTCATGCTGTATCCTGGTCACATGGGTATTCATCTGAATATCAGACTAGGGAAAGGATATTTATTGATTATACAACCTGAGCCCTTCTAAACATGCAAGTATCATCGTTAGAAACGGAGGAGATGGCTCAAAGGCAACCAGGGACCATCATTCAAATGATTGGACAGGATTTTCATAAAGGCAGTGAGAGTCTGCAGCTGGTTTAACACACTGCAAAACAGAGGAGCCTCAGAATAAGTGACATATGAGTGCAATCATAAATACACAAAGCCCAGAACCTTGTGTTTTAAGAAACAACGATCTATGACCACCTAAGCAGGAGATGCTGGATAGAAAGTTCTGTAATATCAGAACTCATCAGCCTAAAATAGAATTCAGGGAGAAATTAAATGGATTTTTAAAAATCAGTTAACATAATGTATTACTTATTAAATTCTTTCATGGAGCAAATAGAAGACTAATTTCTCTGGAGCCATTCATGCCCCCAAAAGTTATAATTAAAGACACAAATTGAATGATTTTAATAATGATGAACGTTCACCTTTTCAGTGCTTAGGTATGGTAATATGATAGTCACAGAAGGACTCTGCCTTCCATTTTCATTTAACTTTCCCTCCTGGGATTTTCAAAGATACTTTCTCTTATTTATTTATTTAGTCATGGACAGAAAAATACCTGGAACTGTAAAACAGCTGAATATTAGTTTTGGTTTTTTATTTTATTTATTTATTTATTGGTTGGTTTGTGTGTGTGTGTGTGTGTGTGTGTTGTTTGTTTGTTTTTAAGATAGGATTAGTTTCTACTTCTCCAAACATAGTAGGGGCTCAAGGCTCTGGAAGGATTTCTGAACTTCCCAGCATGCTCAGCTACGGATGTTTCTGTGTCCTCCCTTTTCTGCTTTGTGGGGTCCTGCCAAGAACCTGGATTTGTAAGTCTTCTGGCACACTGCCTCTCTTGTTTGTTTTCCTTTTACAGCATACAATTAATGATCACTGATGCCTTTGTCAACGTCCTCATCATGCAAAATGGAAATCAAAGATATTCTTAAGAGGTGCAGGCAAAATGCAGTCTTAAAGTTCACTGGAAAATAAGCAGTCTCTGCAAGCCAGTTGGTCAGAATATTTGTATTTTTTCTATCATTTGGGAAAATCCTATTATGGCTTTAGCCACAGACGCATCCCTGGTGTGCAAGATAGAGGCAGATCATAAAACACACGGCATTTTCTGCCTGAAAATAGGGCAACCTATTGCTTTCTGTAGATGGCTGTTACACCCCAGTTGCCATCAATAGAACATAATCTCATTGAGGCAGGCAGTACCAGGGATCAGGGAAGCACCAGTTTCCTAGCTGCATGCTGCCCGCTCTTACTGAAATGACAGAAAAAAAAAAAAGACTTCACAGTTTTACAAAGATGGTATCTTTAGAACATACTCGTGAACCAAGACAGTGAAACTGCAAAGATAACAGAAGTTAAACATAGGTGCTTGGAAACATCTCCCTCCTTCCCCACTTCCTCCTCCATATTTCTTTTTCTTTCTTACAGGAAGTGTGAATTCTCCAAATGCCATTACAAAATGATTTGAACCACGGTGTCAGCTACATAATTAAGCCCCTCCATCAGCGGATGCCAAATTAGATGTCTGTTTGCAGCATGCCTCTCACTGTCAGGGAAAGGGGACCTATGTGTGGTTGACACTTGATTGGGTTAATTCTCCAAAAGAATGGGAGAGATGCCAAATTCCAAAGGTCCCTGTATTTAATGGTAGGTAGGCCACATGCCCAATTTGGCCAGTTTTTAGCCGTGCCAAATAAAGTAAGTTTTGCTGTGCTGTTATCAGAGTGATTAAAATATAATAAGCTAATAAGATTACAATAGCTGATTGTGAACAAGACCAATTGTGCTAATTGGAAGCTCCTGAATGGCAATTTTAGCTGCTGCTGAGTTTTGAAATATAATCAGTTTTACTAATTTTATCTGATTTCTTAATGAAGCTTGCCCTGAGCAATTGTTCTATGTGTTCTTTAGCAGACAGTGTGTGTCATAACTGCTAACATTAATCTCGATTACTTTAGTTAAAATAAATAGTTATACTTGGGTGGCTTTCAGAAAATATATCACAATAGATGCAATGTTGGAAAGCAAAGTGCTTTGGGACAACTTCCCCCCCCACACACACACAACCTTGTTTGGCTACGTTTTATGTACAGTATTTCAACCATAAAGATTTCTTTCCTTGATGCCACCACATATTTCCTAGTACTGCTGTGAAAGACTAAAGCAAAGCTTCTGTTTGTTCTTTTGTAATATTCTTCCCTGAGTAAAGATGAAAGATGAGATTTATACAGAGGAGAAGTCAAGGGACACCAAATGTATCTTAAAACTCTTAGGCAGAGTTCCCACCCACGGGCCGTTGTCTGGGCAGTAAGCCGACCAATCCCATCACTACTAACCGCCAGCATTTATGAGTGGCATTGCTACAGAGCAAGCACTCAAGGTATTTGTTTTTACAGTAGATTAATATACATTGAATGGGTTCCACGGACTTTTTAAGTGCCCTGGGAGATGGCTGTGTGATGTTGCCAGTCATAAAAGACTGGAAATGGGAAGAGAACATAAAGTTTGGGGAGGTGAAGAATACCATTCACATGAGCTAAGGAAACATCTTTCATGACATTTTTTTTCTTACCATAATCTTTCAACATCAGCAATTAGGATTGAATATTTACACTCTTTGATGCATGTAAGCAAATATTAAATGGCTTTTGAGAAGAACAAGTTAGGAGCAGGATGAAAGGTTCTCAGAGCTCACAGAACATCTGATGTATTTCTATATCAAGGAGTTTTAAAGACCACATGGGTAAATCAGCCAAGAGAACTACAACTTCCCTCATCCACAGAGGTATTTGCAAGCTGTTCTACTGAGTTGTCACATTGTGACAACAATTTGTAAGAGGGCATACAAACCATACAATTTTCTTTTAAAAATATGGTTATGCTTTCTGAGCTGATAGCGCTCCTGCCAACATGGTGAACGTTCCTAAGACCCGCCGGACATTCTGCAAGAAATGTGGGAAGCACCAACCCCACAAGGTGACCCAGTACAAGAAGGGCAAGGATTCTTTGTATGCCCAAGGAAATCGGCGTTATGACAGGAAACAGAGTGGCTATGGTGGGCAGACTAAGCCTATTTTCGGCAAAAAGGCTAAACTACAAAGAAGATCTAAGAGGATGCTGGCTAGTAAGAGGTGCAAGCATTTTGAACTGGGAGGCGACAAGAAGAGAAAGGGCCAAGTGATCCAATTCTAAGCAGATTTTGTTATGAAGACAGTAAAATCTTGACCTTTCACCCCCTTTGATTGTCTCTGGAGAGGGAATAAATTAAAGCTTTCAGAAAAAATATGGTTATTTATTTATTTATTTATTTATTTACTATGTGTGTTTGTGTGTATGTCTGTATGTGTGTTTGTATGTGTGTGTCTGTGTGTTTGTGTGTGTGTCTGCATGTGTGTTTGTATGTGTGTGTCTGTGTGTGTGTGTGTCTGTCTGTGTGTGTGTGTACCTATGCCATGGTGTATATATATGAAGATGTACTTAGAGAACAACTAAACTTTTTCGGTTCATTGGATTTGAAAGCACATGTTGTCAGTCCAAATATAAGTGTACAGAGAATAGAGACCCTAGAGCACTTTAAATGGTATATCTATATCATAACATACCCCTCCACTCAAGGCTTGGGGATCTATGGAGAAGAATGGGTGGCAGGATTTTAAGAACCAGAGACAATGAATGACTTCAAGAAAAGCACGTGTTCTAGACACAATGGAGTAGATGTGTAAATGAACTCATAGTGATGGGACAACATGTGTAAGACCTGTGAAACTTCAATACAAACACAATCTTTGTGTGGAAGGGTGAGGTAGGCATAGAATCCCGTGCCTAGCTGAGGAGCAATTAACATTTTTCTGGATTCTGGGGGAGAGAAAGTAAGTTTTTGTTAATAGTATGACACCTGGTATATCATTCACACTACAGGGCAGGCCCCATACCAAGGAATAGTTGGCCAAAAAAAAAAATGGATTCAATAGAAGGGAGAGAGAGAGAGAGAGAGAGAGAGAGAGAGAGAGAGAGAGAGAGAGATTGAGATCATGAAGTTGGGTGAGTAGAAAAGTAGGGATGGCTGTAGGGGTATTATGGGATGAATAGTATTAAATTCACATAAAATGGGTATTTGTTTAAAAAATAGCTCCTTTCTCTTATTCTGTAGGCATGTAACAAGTGTTCTTTGACTCAAAATTGTAAATTAGTTTTAGAGAGAGGCCACACAAGACAAGATAAATGAGGTAGGCAGGACCTAACAATTCAGGAGTAAGAAGAGGGAAAGAGAAAGAGGAGGCCAGTATTTCATAACAGTAACTGAGAAGGCATCCGTAAGAGTTTATCTCAGAAATTGACAGTAGAATAGATGTTACTAGAAGCTGGAAAAAGTGAGGTTAAAGCATGAGGGAGAGAGGATGGTTAATGAGAAGAGTGATGGCATTGGATGAAAAAAAAAAAACCAGCGTCTAACGTCCTTTAGCACAGAGGAGAAACTCTGATAACCACCAATCACATATTTCAAAATAGGAAGTAAGGACTATCAACCAAAAGAAATTCTATATGTTTGAGATGATAGAAGACTCACTCTGATCTGATTGTTATTTAATGTGTACAAATATTGAAATGTCACAATGTGCGGGTATTGTGTCATGTGCATGTGATCACACTCCCAAGTGCTTTAGGATCATTGTTTGCAAGTTTATGCTAGGATATTCTGGAACTCAGGGTACATGAGAGATCCAGCTTTTAATTGCTGTCCTCTGAAACCTGATGCCCACTAGGACATGCATGCACCCACACTCAAACATATAATACACACACGATAACAATAAATTTATAATAATATCTGTTTTGCTATCTGCTCATCTCAGAAAAGAAAAGTCATTCTTAAGAGAATGAAATAGGGGTACACTTTTCTTTTTCCCATGTATACACAATGAGAGAAGAAAATGAGTTAATTTCAGAGTTATTCATAATATATTTTGAAATTTTTTGTATTTCATAGTATATCTTAAACATTTTTCAGTGCCCATCTAGTAGACATGGATAATTTGGAAAACAGATTTTCATCAGACACTGTCAAGTGGCTAAGCCAGTGGTGAATGTCCCCCATAACAGCAGTGATAGGCAGCTGCTTATCAACAAGGCTGTCCTGATTGATCACTTGCTATAAAGGACATGCATCTTCAGCAATGTACAGTTTACTGTAATAAAACTCACCTGGATATGGTGTACTTCTTTCAAATAGGTTGGGAGACCGCCTAATCATCTTCTCAAACAAATTATAGACCTACTTACACTTGACTTCAAAATCGTATATGGTATAATGACGCTTGAGCGTGTTGTGTTACATCTGAAAATGTAATGGACAAAGTCTGGCTATCACTGTTCATTACTTTAGACTTAGTGTAGATGCTAAAATATAGTATTTTATTTCTAGATAGTTTGTTTTACTATTTAAAATTAAGTCATTTTACTACATGTTATAATTATTCAAATTTTAAAGAAATTATTTTTTTTCATTGACAATGTATTTTACCACCAATATCTATGAGGGAGACTTAGTACTCTCAGTACGACATTTTCCTTTCCTTTCTCTTTTGCTATCTATTGACAAGGCCCTTTAGTAAAAAATGGACAATTTAAAACAAGGTATATTAATAAGCTAAAAGATATGTATTATTTCATGACAATAACAAAATGAATATCAAGATCTAATTCTCTCCATTAGGCTATTAATATCCTAAATTATTATCTCAATTTTAAAATATGGACATAGTCTTTGCATTCCTAGATTAATAATTTTGTTCATGACATTATCTCTTCTAGTACAAAACTGGCTAAAATGCATTAGTGCTTTATTAAAGATTCTGCTTACTGCTGGGTCCAAATGCTTGCCCTTTTTAATGAAACTCTAGTATGACATCACACTACAGAAAGAGGAGACTTATTAGTCACTTGGCTGTGACTTGATGAACTCTATCCTTTCCATCCCTAAAGGAACAGCCATTTATCTTGAGTGGAATTGAAACATTTGCCAGATACAAGTTTGCCTTTCCTACTTATAAGGATTCAGCCAGCTCTTCCATCTTAGAACTCACAGAACATTTGATCTACTGACATGAAACATGGGTAGCATTGTGTAAGATCAAGGGATACACTTGTCAGCAGAGATGCTCATAGAAGACACACAGAAAAGAGAATTTTGTGTCTCTTTTTCTTTCAATCTTGAACTCCCTGAGGTTCATAAATATGCCAATTTCCAAAAAAGGTGATACTTGCACTGGGAGAATGATTGGGATCCCCTGAACTTTGAGTAGCACCCGTCAACCAGGAGGTCAGCAATCAGGGAATCATGACTCTAAGCCAGCCAGGCTGATTTACTCTTTCATTTGTAAATCAGTAAATCTACTGTTTGACAGTGGTTGAGGGTCATCATAACATGGATCTTAAAGGGAAGGTTAAAAACCTTCTGGACAGCCTAGATAATCTAAGTAAGTTGGTTAGTGGACCAACATAGGTGTTCTTCAAATGTTATCATAGCAATGATGAATATATATCATAATCTGTAGACGAACAAGAGCTAAATTCTACTGCTAACATCTGTTATTATTTTGACAAGGAAAGTGATGTTTTAGAATTTAGAATTTTGTAACCCTTAGAGGTAATCTCATTGTACAAAGCAAGTGGTCTTCATGTACAACTGATTTAATGTGAATATCTTTTTTTGATGATATTTTATATTCTGAATTTGATTGTAACATTATGTACCATGGTCCCTAAGAAATATGTCATATTTACTAACATGCTAAGTAATTTTATGAAAGTATTTATGCAGATATTTTGATTTTGATGGTTATTGAGTGATTCTTTAAAAAAATAGTTTTAGTGGGCTGGAGAGATGGCTCAGTGGTTAAGAGTACCAACAGTGATCACAGGAGTGTTCATGGAACTTTGTTTATTGCCTTGCTTGTTCTTTGACTATTTGCATCTATTCTATTGCTAGTTCCTCAACCTAGAACTGACCTTAATACTTGCATGTACTTAAAATGGTATAAAAGCAAAAAGGAGGAGGGGAGATGGGATAGAGGGTTTCTAGGGAGGGGAAATAGAGAAACAGGATGACATCTGAAATGTAAATAAATAAAATATCCAATAGAAAAATATTCGCATTAAAAAAAAGAAAGGCGGAAGCTCCATGGAGAAAAACAAACAAATAAACAAAAAATAACGACAACAACAAAAGAGCACCAGTTGTTCTTCCAGAGGTCCTGAGTTCAATTCCCAGCAACCACATGGTGGCTCACAATCATCTGTAATGGGTTCTGATGCCCTCTTCTGGTGTGTCTGAAGAGAGCAATGGTGGTATGTTTATATGCATAAAATAAATAAATAAATCTTTAAAAAAAGAAATTTTTTTAAAAATATTTTTTATTAGTTTGTTGGGAATTTCATACAATATATTTTGATTGTGTTCACTAGGAACTCCCCCTGCTCACTTCCTCCCTGATCTACCTCAACCATTCTCCCATCCCCAACTTTATGTCTTCTTTTCTTTTCTGTGACCCATTGACTCACGTTTGAAATGCTTATACACTCCTGGGTATGGAGCTGCAATCAGGAGCATTTTTGATTTATCAAGAGCTACACACACTCTCAAGGAAAACTGATTCTCCATCTCCAGGAAGCCATTAATTGTCCATAGCTCTTCATGAATGGAGGGGGTCAACCTCTTAACCATCCATGCTAGAATGTTGACTGGATTGCTCTATTTGAAAAAATATGTTTTTATTAATTCTTTGAGAACTTCACATATGTATACGATTGATTTGTTTTGATCATATTCCCTCCTTTTACCTTCTCTTAGGTCCTGAGCTCATGTCCAATTTTACCACTTCATTTCACATCTCTTTTTTTTTTTTTTTTTTTTTTTGAGACATGATCTCACCATGTCTCACCATGGCTGACCTGAAACGTTCTATGTGAATTGGGCTGTACTGGAAGTCACTAAGATATGCTTGCCTCTGTTTCTGCCTCTGCCTCTGCCTCTGCCTCTGCCTCTGCCTCTGCCTCTGC